CTAGACATTTTATTTGATTGAAAATTGTTTAATTGTTACGAATATCAAACAGGTACCCTGATTTCCTTTATCCTATGGATGATTTCTGTTTACAGAAACTACCCAAAAGGTACTTTTACTGACAGTAATTTGCACAATTCTTCGAGTTTTAAATTCAAGGAGATATAAGCGTACTATTGGTCAAAATGTTTCAAAAATTCCTTAAGTAGATTGTAGTTTCTACCTAGTCATCAGCATCCCTAATAAGAATCGATCCCAGATAGTGCAGCGTATAATTTCGACATTTCACCAATACGCCATACTGCCACCAGTGCCCGTTGGTCGCAAAGGAAATGCAAATTTAAAAGAATGCCAGACCTCTCCTATATAAATTCCCGCTGGGGGTTCTGATGAGACCTAGGCAAGGTCGAAATTCAAGTTCAGACTGGATCATTGTAGAAAAATTCAACTATCAACTCTACACCACCTTATACAGCCTAGGATGGCTAGAAAGCTTATTCAAGACTTGCTGAAAGTCTTAAAACCTACTTTCTATGGATAGAAACATCGATAAGCCTTTTAAAATAACACAGACTTAAGAAAGTTCTCAGAGATCATATGGGGAATAGGGTTTAACATAAACGGACACTCAAGTAGAAATAATAACATTAAACTGAGCGTATACAAGCTATGGAAAGACGATGAAATCTATGCTTACAGTTAAGTGTCGATTTCTGAAAAAACTTTAAGAGAATGAGTTAATGATTCTGTCTTTTTACCTCATAGATAGTGACAACTCCACTATATTACTGTTTAAAAGATAGACAAAAATATTCGTTTTGGAAATGATAAAAACAAGAAAACATTGAAAAGGCTAATCTAATGAGATACGAATAGCTACTGAGGAGATAGATAGAGGTTTTAAAAATGTAGATAAATTCTTGAAGAGGCTATGGCTTCAAAAAGTATTTCTAGATAGATTAGATGTATTCACCCTATTTCGTTTAAGGTGATGAAGGACTGGTAGTTGAATTTTCCCACAATGATATGAGGAGAGCTTATGTTTCCATTAAATTTCGCATAGCTTTGCCTTTGTGTGCTAACCCAAAAGCGTTGTGGTTCAACATTAAACCTAATCAAAGCAAGCAGTACCACAACAATTGTGGGTTGGCACACAAGATACTAAGAGATAGCAAGTCATAGACTTGGTATTAAAGATAGAAACAGGATATACGCGGCAGAGACTAGAGCTAGTTGGCTGACAGTAGGTCTGTTTTACGATAGACGTGGTCCATGAAGCAACGGATTGACCGTGAGACTTACTCAGAAGCTTTAGCCTCGAATTAGTAACCCAGACGCAGGAGATGGGTAATAACGCCTCGAGTAGCACAGATGGGGTAACAGGGGTCGAGTAAATTACTTGAACCAGGGAAATAACAGACGGATTATACGGGGCAAGAGGGAGACTCTAATAAGACCTAGAAAAGGAGGACTGCGTAACAATATGGCAGAACCTGATCAACATTGCCAGCACAAGGGTAAAGGGGGGTAGAACGTCGGCGTGGAGTGCCGAGGGTTCTCATGAAAGCCGCTCAAAAGGGCACGTCACACTAAATTTAAAAATGCAAGGAAAAATTATGATAGTAAAAGCGTGATGTGAGGATATAGGACAGAAGAAGAGATACCACAACTGTTTAGCACACGTTTGGTCAAAGGATCG